GTGGCGGTGTCGCGGGGCCAGGGAGAGTCCCACCCGCGGCGCCAGCGTCGGATTTTAGTGTGCGTTTCCATCTGGGCTGCTCCTGCTGCCGTCTGGGCAACTGTGGCAACACACGCAAGCTCCGTGAGCCAAGTCCTGAGGCTGTTGTCTGAGCGCGTGAATCACGCTCAACCTCCCAGCACGGGCGGATGGAACCGTCGGCTCCAGGCAGACGTCCTGGCGCGCTCCCCGCTCTCTCCCTACCCGCTGTGCTCTGCGTCTGTGCTGGGCCCAGACTCTGGCCTGGGACTGGAGGTGGGGAATGGGGGGGGGGTGCAGGGAAAGCGCCAAAGGAAGGCACACAGAGCGGCTACTGATACAAACACATCTCCTGAAATGGATTGTAGCAGTGTAGCCACTTTAGCAACTTAGCCAAGCATTTCCTTCCTTCCTTCCTTCCTTCCTTCCTTCCTTCCTTCCTTCCTTCCTTCCTTCCTTCCTTCCTTCCTTCCTTCCCTCCCTCCTTCCCTCCCTCCTCCCCTCCCTCCCTCTCTCCCTCCCTCCCTCCTACCCCTCCTCCCTCCCTCCCTCCCTCCCTCCCTCCCTCCCTCCCTCCCTCCCTCCCTCCTTCCTTCCTCACTCCTTCCTTTTGTTTTTTGCTCAAGCCTTCTGTGCTTAGGGGTTCTTCTGACCCAGTGCCCAGAGATCACTCCTGGGCAGGGCTTGGGGGACCCTGTGGAGTGTCCGGGATTGAATCTGGGTCAGCTGCATATAAGACAAGTGCCTTGGCCACAGAACTATCTCCCTAACCCCTTTAGCCCAAATATTCATACCATCACTAGTTGGAAGGAATATTTTACAAATATTAAAGTAGCTAGAAGTCTTTAAAGTTCTGCATAGGGAGAAGAAATGTTTCTCTAGAAAATGCTTTTTTGGGTTAAAGCCATGGGGAACTCGAGTGCAATTTAAGAGGGAAGGTGACAGCGTGTCCTGGGAAGGCCAAGCGTCCTTCTGGGGTGGGAGCAAACGTGTATCAAGACCCATAAGGAGACCTAGCTCGGGTGGGATCAGAACTAGATCACACGCAAGGACTGGATCAGAGAGGAGGATCCAATTTTTTTTTAAAAAAATTTTATTAGTGAAACACCATGAGGTATACTTGTAGACTTAAAAATTTTGGTGCTTGGATTTCAATTATACAATGACCCATCCCTCCACCAGTGCCCATTTTCCACCACAACAGGTCCCAGTATCCCTCCCCTCCCCCAATCCCACTCTGCCTCTGTGGCAGGGCATTCCCTTTTGTTCTCGCTCTCCTTTTGGGTGTTGTGGTCTATAGTCATGTTTGGTCTCTAGTCTACTTTCAGCATGCTTCTCCCATCCTGGGAGGGTGAGGAGGATCCAATTTTGGAAGCACTTGAGCTCCATATGTGCAGCGCTGACCAGTTCTGGGGCTCAGCATCGGCTGCATCAGGGGAGTGACGGACTAGAAAGGACACCTCAAGGAGGGCAGTGTCCTGAGCCCTGGGGAGGGACGGGAAGAGCCAATCCAAGGAGAGGAGGCACTCCTGCTCAGTTGACCTAATCATGGAGAACAGAGCGACAGCAGGAGAGGACGTGGCGAATCTGAGGGGCTGGCAGAGAGAGAGAGAGAGAGAGAGAGAGAGAGAGAGAGAGAGAGAGAGAGAGAGAGAGGCTGTGATGACTGCTTGTGCATGAAGGGAGGAGAAAGAGAGAAAGAAAGTCAGAGAAAACTGGCAGGTTGAGGGTAAGAGAGCTGTGGCCGCATTGTTTTCCTGGTTGGTTGTTTGCTTTTTGAACTTTTCAGTTTGGGGCCACACTCAGCAGTGCTCACAGTTTACTCCTAGTTCTGTGCTCAGAAGTTACCCTGGCAGGGATCGGGGGACCCTATGGGGTGTTGGGAATCGAACCCAGGTCAGCATGCAAGGCAAGTGCTCTCCCTGCTGTATGTTGCTCTGGCCCAGCTACACCAAGAGTAGATGCAGTTCTGAGCTGCTTAAACCCCATAATGGACTCCCTACACTGCTAGTGCTGGTACTGTGAACACGACAGCTCTACTATTCCCCCCCCCCCCCTTTTTATTAGTGAAACACCATGAGGTACAGTTGTAGACTTACACATTTTTGTGCTTGGTTTTCAATTACACAATGATCGAGTACCCATCCCTCCACCAGTGCCCATTTTCCACCACCATGGATAATATCCCTCCCACCCCCCCATCCCCCCATCCCACCTTGCCTCTGTGGCAGGGCAATCCCCTGTATTCTCTCTCTCCTTTTGGGTGTTGTGGTCTGCAAAAGAGGCATTGAGTGGCAATCATGTTAAGTCCATAGTCTACTTTCAACATGCATCTCCCCTCCTGGGAGGATCCTCCAAACACCCTTTATTTGGTGCTCCCTTCTCTATCTGAGCTGCCCTTTCCCCTAGAATGCCCAGCTGGCCTCTAAGCCACGGCGTAATCCTCCTGGTACTGATCTCGGCTATTCTTGGGTATTAATCTCCTATTTTGTTACTTTATGTTCCCCAGATGAATGCAATCTTTTTATGTCTATCCCTCTCTTTCTGTAGTGTCCATTTTCCACCACCACTGATCCCAGTATCCCACCCACTCCCTATTCCCCCATCCCACCCTGCCTCTGTGGCAGGACATTCCCTTTTGTTCTCTCGCTCCTTTTGGATGGCAGCTCTACTAGTACTACTGCTGCTACTGTTCAGATTACTGCTTCGATTACTGTTACTCCTAAAGACGAATATTTATTAAGTCCTTACTCTAGCCCAGGCACTGTGTTTAAGCCCTTGACATATGTTAGGTTTTTAAATCAAAATTATACCACAATGGACTCATACATTAACATATCTCTGAGCAAATTCCACGTGGCAGATACAGCCTGGGAGAGAACGTGGAAGCCACAACCTTCCCATAGTGCGTTTGCAATTTTGCAATCAAGTCTCGGGCTCCAGACGGTGCTCATATCCAGAGAACATGTAGGTTCTGACTTGAACCGTGAGAAAAATGAATGGTGGTGAGCGTGAACCCGAGAGAAGGGTCCCGGAAGCCACGATGCAGATCGTGGAGGCACACGAAACAAGCCAGGGACGGGCACTTAATTCTGGGGAACAATAAGCAAAGCTTGGCAATTGTGAGCAAGTGCTAGAAGGTTGTGTCCCTGGAGCGGGGTAAAGGAGAAAGTGGCACAGGCAGGGAAACTGGCAGGGTCATAGGAGACCAGCCTTGTTAGTTGTGCATAGGGATGATTCAGAGGAAAAGGAAGACACGGAGGGTTGGACACAGAGGGACCTGGCTTGACCTCCAGTTAAAAGACAAGGAGAGAATACATGGGAAACAAGTCTCAATGGGAACAAGGAGACCAGCGAGGAGTTTGGTATCTGCCTGTGTGTGTGTGTGTGTGTGTGTGTGTGTGTGTGTGTGTGTGTAGTGGTAGGACTGGAGATGAGAGAAGGGAGAGACCGGGGACTGATTTGGGCATAGGACTAACAGAATTTGCAGGAGAGAGAATGCCAAGGGCAGAGAGGCAAGAGAAATGGAAGGCAGGCTGAACCCTGGCATTAGGAATGGGGAAATGGCGTGCTAAGGCAAGAGGGAAGCTGACTCGGTTTGGGAGGGAGAAACCACTTCACCCGATCTGCTACCTTTGGGAGAGGCAGTAGGCAGAAACATGGAGTTCTCAGCAGCGCTGGAGGGTCTCTGTGCCCAAAACACCATGAGTCGTAAGAGCCAGAGAAGGAGGCTGCGATGAATGGTGGGTTTAGGGGTGACTAAACCCACGTTTAGGGGTGGTGATGGAACCACAGTGAGCGAGTGGAGAGAAGTTTATAGGTCACCCACAATTGGGGTGTGCTGGTGCGTTGGATCAGCAAGAGGCTGAGCAGGATAGGGGAAGCACGTGAGAGGGAGGGTCATGGAGTTGAGAGGGGAAACTGAGTTAGGGGCAAGAGAGCAGTCAGCAGTGTCCAAGGTGATGGCTGGTGGTGGGTCCACAAAGGGAACCTTGGGCCTAGGAGCTGCTTGATGCTGAGGGTCCTAAAATCACAGTCGAGTACCATGACAGGGAGACACATTAGATGCTGAGCTAAGAAGTGCTGGGTGCGAGGCTGGGGCTTTAGTGGATGGCCACTCTTGAGAAAACATCATTTCCTGTTCAGCACAGATGGAGCCAGGGCTAAGGGGGCATAGTGACCCCTCCAAAGCCACGAGAAACCATCGGAAGAGTTGGGTTTCCGCTCTTAGCTCCTGTGCTAAGCAAGTGTTCAAGTTATCATCTGAATGAATAATTTATTTTCTAATTAGCTCTTTGTTTCCCATTTCGCTCACTTGGTTGCTTTCACAAAATGGTCTCTGATTAACAGCCGAATAAAGTAAACACGGGAGAAAGCCAGGATGGAGAAACGAAACGATGATAGATAAATCAAGGCAGTTCAAGTATAAAGTTTATGAATATATTCATTGATTGTCTCCAACTGTCCTAAAGCACCGACTCGGATCCTCTGAAATGAATGATGTTCTATTCTCCACCCCACCCGCCCTTTCTTGCCCATCATTAGATTTAGACCTCAGGCAATACCTGCAGAAATGCCTTGGGGGGATGGGGGAGGATGAAAGGGAGAGATCCAACCAATAATCAAGAAAACCTCCAGCGCTCCCCCTTTGCATTTTGGCATTTCTTTCTCCACACCCCTGTCACTCAAAGCTGGTGCCTCTGGGCCTGCAGAGGAAACCAGGCTCCAAGGCGATTTTCTCCAAACTCCAATTCCTCTGTTTCCCTACTCAGAACAGAGGCCGAAACGAGGGGAGAACTCTTTCCAACTGGTATCTGACAAAGTAGAAATGAAATTTCAACTAGCTGGGAAATGAGATATCACCAGTGACAACTGTTCAGGAGGGGTTGAGGGTCCAGGGAGGGTCCCCTCACAGCCAACTCATTGTCCCGTACAATTTCCGTACCCAACACCAGACACCGTCACTCCCGGGCAGTCCTTACCTTGCCGACATACAAAGGGTCAGTTCCCGTGTACTCTTCCAGAACAAAAAACTGGTTCCAAACCCAGCTCCTCTTGGTTCTCGAATGTGCCAGTGGCTTGTCTGACAGGAGCGCTTCCAAGCTGCCTCGCGGGGAAGGGGTGCCTGAGAGAACCGCCGTGGTAAGATCCATCAAGCCCCAGAAACACAAGGACATGCCAAGTGTAAGCCAGCTCTTTGCATTGATCATTCTACCAGAAATCCACATGGGATGCCAGGTTTTCAGAAAGGAAAGGACAGGCTGGTGTAGTTGCTTGGAACTGGGCGTCTTCTCCAAATGTAAACAAAACAAAACAAAACTACTCTGGTAACCGGGTCCTTCCGTGGCCCCAAAGAGATTCTGATTCAGATTGATCCTCTTGAAGTTCACTTCCTGTCAAGTTAAGGAAAAGAGTGTGTGATGACAGGTTCTTTGCGGTGGGCTTCTAGCAAGTTCTTAAGAAACGTTAGTAAATATTCTGCTCAATGAGTTAAAGAGTCATAACATGCTTTAGAAACGTTGGCGGAGACAAAAACATTTTGATGAAACAGAAGACAACCTCTTGCGCGCTAATCAATTCTAGACCTTTGCCTATGGATTTCAGTGGAAATAAAACTAGTAAATAAATTTCCTCTCCCCTGGCAATGTAGCTGAAGGGTTATGCTATATTATTGATTGGTTCGAATTCATAGCAAGCTCTTGGAAATATTTATGACGAGACAGACTCTCAAACTCTTAGAAATAGCATTCATTTCCAAAAGTTACAGCTAATAACTAATATTTTCATTAGCTCAACTGCTTTTCTTGGTTCGCTTAATAAAACAAAAGAACACACTTTTTTAAAAATTTCCCACAACAATCCTGTGCCTCCCCGCCTGTTACTGATAATAGGAGGAGGCTTGGGCTTTGTTTGTAAGCAGCAATGAATCACTTTTGACTTCAGTCATTCTCTGAGCTGCATTTGAGTTTCACACTCTACTGCTTCAGCGCTGAGGTACTGATAGGGGCTGTTAATGTGACCTCTCTAGGATTTGAATCACCAGTTAATCATGATATCATTCACAGTGGACTTTTAAGTGCTATTAGTGACACACTTCCAGGAGCAAGCTAAGAGAGTCCAGCCAACATTGCCCCCCTCCCCCCTCCCCCCAATCTGAGAGACTTGGGCAAAGGGATATAGACTTCAACCCTTGGGACACCTTTTTATCAATCAGACCAACATCTTAGGTTGTTCTGAAGTCAGATTAGCTGGTGACCTCACTCCTGGCTGATGACCTCATCAACCTTTTCTTCCTTTACTTAATGAAGTGCCACAGTGCTCATGGCCCTCTGTCCTAACAGTTGAAATGTCTGCCGTGGACTTAATATTTTAATAGTTAATGCAGAGAACCTCTGACATCGTCTCAGAATAAATGTGTCTATTTGGGGATTTCAGACTCATGCAGTTAAAAGTCATTTTATATCTACAAGTAGTTTAAAATGAGATGGACCGATGCTCATCTGTAGACATATAAAGCACTGGATTAAAACAAACGCAAGAAGAACTGGAAAGTAAGGGCAATGGATAGGGTGCTTGCTTTGTACTTGGCCAACACTGGGTTCAATCTTCAGCATCCAGTTATGGTCTCCTGAGCACCATCAGGGGGATTCCTGAGAGCAGAGCCAGAGGAACCCTTGAGCATCGCTGGGCATGCGTCCCTTCCCCCATCCCCAAAGAAAAACCAAAACAAATCCAAGAATGTTAACTCAGTTTCCACTTTCCACCTATCATCTCAGCTCTCAAATATCAGTAAAATGAACGAAAGGATCAGAAAGCTGTCTTATAATAATTTTATTGTCATTACTAAACAATGCGATGGTTTCTGTATAAGAAATAAATCCCTTCATCAGGAGATGATAAATAGAACAACATGGGGGCAAGACTGAAATTTCTGCAATAGAATGGGGAACTGCTTCCTCCTGCTTCTAGTTCCAAAGGCAGATTGTTAGGAAAAGCAAGGTGCATTTGGATTTAGAGTAATATATTTGTTAAGCAAAGACTGTTGTTGTGCTGGGCTGGAGAGATATTACAGAAGGCAGGGCACTTACCTTGCAAGTGGCTGACCTGGGTTCAATTCCCAATATCCCATATGCTCCCCCAAGCACTGTCAAGAGTAAATTCTGAGTGCACAGATAGGAGTAACCCCTGAGCATTACTGGGTATGGCCAAAAAGCTCCCCCAACTTAAATTAAATTAAAATAGTGGTGTGGTGCCAAGTCTCTCTCTCTCTCTCTCTCTCTTTCTCTCCCTCTCTCTCTCTCTTCCTGTCTGTCTGTTTGTCTGTCTGTCTGTCTCTGTCTCTCTCTCTGAGCTGATTGAGAGGAAGCCAGTTTATGTGCTCAGACTCTTTTCTAGGGGAAGCCCTATGGAGGAAGGGGCCAAGGAGATTAATTGATGGAAAATATTGATGAGAATCAACTTTTCTGTTTCAGCAACTTAGAAGACAAAGGATCTGACTTCAAACAAACAAACAAATAAACAAACAAACAAGCAAAAAGGTAAGGGCATTGCCTAGATACTGTGATAGGTCATCACAAAGAGAATCTTCCATATGCAAGGTAAAGGTAAAGGCCCTCCCGTTGATCGTCGATTTGCTCGAGCGGGCCCAGTAACGTCTCCATTGGAGACTTTGTTGTTACTGTGTCTGGCATATCGAATACTCTCGGTAGCTTGCCGGGCTCTCCGAGAGGGGCGGAGGAATCGAACTCGGGTTGGCCATGTTGGCCGCTTGTAAGGCGAACGCCCTACCCGACAGCAAATTATTTATGTTTTTTCCTGAGGACACTAAACAAAGCCAGACAGTTTGGCTCCTGGTTCTATCTTCTTTATTTCTGACTTATTCAGCTTCTGGGAGCTTTTGTTCTTTATGGGTTAAGTGGGAGAGGTACCTCTACTCCTCCTTACTCTACCTTGAGTCTGCTGCGAAAATGGAGGGAAAAGGAGTCTATAGAGAGACAGAAGAAAAGCCACATGAAAAATGGGGAAACCCTGAAATGTATTTTGTGGGTGCATCTGGGCTGGAATTCTGCAGGGACTTAATGTGCATAGTATTTTATGGTGTGTGTGTGTGTGTGTGTGTGTGTGTGTGTGTGTGTGTGTGTGTGTTGCTGGAGATGAAACTCAGGGCCTCACATATACAAGGCAAGTGCTCTCCTGCTAAGGTATATCTTCCTGTCACCCCATTTCACAGATCTATAAATTTGTGAAAAATATTATAAATAGTACATTTTGACCCAGTCTAATTCAATAATAACCAAATCTCAGTTTTCCCTGTGATAAGCCAAATGAAATACTATTAGAAAACTGGGGAGTAGAGAAAATTCCTTTCTGGAATTGTACTTATCAAAGATAGAAGTATACTCTATTTGTGTTTTATATATATCTACATTTGCCTAAGAATTGTCTTTGTTCTTATTTTTGTGCTTGGGGAGAGGTTCTGCATGGCCTCAGGTGCCAGTAGTCTTGAACCCAGAGCCTCACACATGCAAAGCACATGCTCTGCCATCTAAGTCACATCCCTGTTTCCTTACCTAAGTATTATTTTGTTTATTATTTGTGATTTTTTTCTGGCTAGTTTTAGCTTCTTACTTTTGGATTCTAAGTGCAGGGATTACAACCATGGGTCTGCCAGTGTCACTGATTAAAATTTCCAGGCTGGGGCTAGAGCAATAGCACAGCAGGTGGGCGTTTGCCTTGCACTCGGCCAACCCGGGTTCGATTCCCAGCATCCCATATGCTCCTCCGAGCACTGCCAGGAGTAATTCCTGAGTTCAGAACCAGGACTAACCCCTGAGCATTGCTGGTTGTCCTTGGACACCTGCGAGTGTGCTCTGGTGGTCCTTGTGATGTAGGTAGGTAGACAGGGAGGGCCCCCTCCCGAGGCAATGACAAAAGCCAGCCCTGCAGAAAATAGCAAAACAGGAACTAAGGCTTGATAAGACCCTAGCCTGGCTCCAGCAACAGACCCAAAGAAGCTCCTCTAGGAACAAAAGGCCAGGAAAGGAATTTCAAAGAAGACCATCACCACTCCCATCCGCGCTGGTAACCTCCTTAGCAACGGGACATTTACCTGGGAAGAAGCCCCACGTGGGAGCAGGTTGGAGAAACCCTATAAAGGCCACCTTGAACAAAGGAAGGGAGCGCATTTGCTGCCAGAGCCCATGTGCTGCTTGCGCCCACGTGGCCGAGCACATGTGGTGCCCGAGCACATGTGTCGCCCTCATCTCCCCTCTTGAGATGTGTACTTTCATGCTTTCGTGTCTAACTTTACTCTCTCACTCCCTCTCCCTCCCTCCATACCTAAAAATCCTCCAAATAAAATCTATTTACTTCACTGCTTGTCTACTCCTGAAATTCCTTTCTGCGAGGCGAGACAAGAACCCAGCAACCCTGGGTCCCGAGTGGCAGAGGTGGATGGGGAGAAAGTGACTGTCTTTCTCCTCCCCGCTTCACATAAGTCACCCGTGGGGCCCACCGACATCACTTGTGACCCACCTCAAGGTGCCTCAGTATCAAAGCTGAAGCACTGTCAACTCTTCCCTGTGAGGCAACCTTGAGACTTCCCAATGGGCAGTGCTTGAAGGCGCCCCTCAGGGCAGAGGTACCTCAGAGAAGCCCAGCTTTACTCCTCAGGGCATAAAAACTGGGCCTGCTCAATAGATTCCTGATTCTTTTCACAGTTCAAGCTGCTTTTGTTTGTTTACTTATTTGCTTTTACAAGTGAAGGGAAATCACTTCTGTCAGGAGTTACTTTACTATTGTTTTTTTTTCTGTCCAGGATCAGCAGAGGGATGAAGTGTGTGAGGTGGGCTAGATGATGATAGGACTATGCATCTATACGTGAAGTCTGTACAGGGGCTTTGGGAGAACACATGTGCCACATGAAGGTGACATTAGTGTAAGTTAACTTCTGTGTTTAATGAGTCTTTTAAAATTTACCACCCCACCCACCCTCTCCCTCTCCTTCCCCAAGAAAGCAAACAGCTTGGTAATGAACACAGTAGGAAGAAATTAAAGTTGTCCATAAAGTGTGTTCCCAGTGAATTGTTTATTTCGTTACTTAAATTTGTTGTGATATTTAAACGGGAAGGGTGAAGGACCGTCGCTGCTTTCTCCTGGAAACAAACTAAGCTTTTATGGTCCTCCTACGAGTTCCTTTATTATTCCCATTTTCCTGAGCTTTTCATGGTGAAAGGAAGTGCTACTCAGTGAAACTCAAATGGCATCTCTGAAGAAGGCAAATCTATTGATGCTGAATTGATTCTGTCCATGA